TCGGTGGACTCCTCCCCTGCCGACAGCTCCTCTTCGTCGTCGTTGTTCTTCAGCTGTATGATTTGGTTGGCCTTTGGATTCTCTGGCCATCATGACTTGGGAGAGTGTGCCGCTTGCCAGTTTTGGTTCGGCGATTTTTACGGTAGTAGAGATGCAAAGAATCCCTAAGTTGCTCTCATACTATGTTACAATCCCAAAGAGGACTTAGCCATGGATCAGCTCAAAGTTGTTCGCAGGTAGTGTTGCAGCGGAAGTGTTGACCTCAGATCAGAGTGAATGTAAATGACAGAGATGATTAAAAGCATGGCATACTTTCCCAAACAGAAAGTCTTCTGATTGTCAGCCCGAAACAAAAGTTGGGATGAGCTTAGCCAAGAAGTGAAACCCAAATTCCTGTTCTGGCGAAGCTCGTCATTTGCAATTGATATTTCGTCGTTAAGTTTGGTTACCTGCTCGGGGTTAGGGCGCATGTTTTTTGGTTTTTATAAGCAAAACTCGGATTTTCGGTTGAACGATATAGATTTGAACCTAGGTCGACCTAGGCTCGAGTATATTCACATCTGCAAACCGAGTCGCGGCTCCAACCCTCTCGAGAATCACAAGACACACAAAAGTTAATCTATCAAAGTTGAAATTTTGCAGCATGGCCGAGTCGCGGCCTACTCTCTTAGATTACCCGGTTTGGCCACGTGACAGCGCGCCACGTATGACTCCCGCGACACGGTGACACGTGGGCTACAAATAGCCCAGGTTTCAAACTTCCAGCTCACAACAATCGCTCAACATGACGAACCCCGAGCTTTTGCGATTCCTCGCCTTTGTCTGGCAAGGATACATGCGACCGTTCCTGCTTCCTTTCTCTGTCGCCCTTGGTGTTGCGCTCCCAAGCCTCGTCACTGCAATTTCGCTCCGTCAATCCTGCGTGTTCGTTAGGGGAGATTGCCTGGACTCCCGTATTTGCTGGTTCCGCCTCATCAGCATTCTTCCGGACGGCAGCTTCTATGAATATATGCGGGTGGACAAGCGGGTGTTCACCTATTTGGTGAGGCAGTATCAGCGTAGCAGGTTCGCAACGTGGCAGAATCCCGTGTACAATTTCGTGCACATCGGCATGGCACTTAGCAAATTGGGGCAGGGATTGCCCTTTCGTGAAATTGGTCGTCAGTTTAGGTACAGTTATTCGTGCACCCAAAAATTGTTCAGTCGTTTCCTCAATTTCATGGAGCGTGTACTCACACCCAAGTGGGTTTGGTGGCCTGATAGCGACATGTTCACAGTATTAGAAGCCGACTTCAGAGCTTTTGCAGGCATCCCTGGTGTGATGGGTGCTATTGATGGCACCTACATTCGCCGCTGTGGCTTTGGGCCACATCACAAGGATTTCCGTAATAGAAAAGGATTCTACTCTATAATCTTGCAACTAATCTGCGATTGCAATGGACTCATTTGGGACTTCTTCGTCGGTTACCCGGGAAGCGTCAACGATGCCCGCGTGTTTCAGTTCAGCCCAGCAAGAACAAGGATTGAAGAAGGCGGACTCAACGACTATTCCTTAGTTGGTGACGCGGCGTACGGCCTGCGCACCTACATCTACACCCCCTACCGTGCTACTACAGGCCGTCACCTGCCGGACGAGCAACGCGTCTGGAACCTTCAGCAGTCATGCTCGCGCATGGTGGTCGAAAAGGTCAACGGTCGTCTTAAAACGAAATGGACATCTCGAGTGTGACATCTTCCGGGCGCCCCGTTACGTCGCCGCGTGCGTTACGCTGCACAACATCAATTTGGTCCTCGGCGCGCGCCCACGAATGGAGGAATCCCGCGAACGCAACCGTTGGTGGCAGCAGGGACCGACGGCAATGGCGCCGCACTTCCCGCCCAGCGCGGAAGGCTTCACGCTAACCCGCCGCCGCTCTCGTTTGGCGGCGTATCTTTACGCCTCTTGGCACCTTGGACACCCGGATTAGCTTGTACCATAAACTCCTGAAAATTCTCACGCATCAGTTGACGCATAGTCCCGGCGACACGAGAAGCAATCTCATCACACAGTGTAGAGTCACTGCTTGTCATACCTCCTCCCATTAATGGCATACCCCCCTCCGCCCCCGTTCCACCGTTTTCTCTAGCCGCCGCCCTTGAATAGCAGACGACGCGGTTCCCGCGCAGCGACAGACCCGCCCTCGCCCCGACACCGTGTGAGAGAGGCGGAGAGGCTCCCGCCACGTTAGGCGAAGTGTGGCGCGAAGGGGTGGTGGGCAGAGACGACGGGTGAGACATCGGCTCAGGCACAGGAGGTGGCGAGGATGGCGCCGCAGAAGCCATAAGCGGAGAGCCAGCACCGAAGCCCTCGGTCCCCGGACCAGGTTCTACAAAGGTAGACCAAGCGCAGAGGGTGATGGGGTGTGTCGCGTGGTTAGAGCAACTAGTGGTGTATCAATGTTTATGAAAGTTTATTTAATGTTCATATGTTGCTCTAATCTTTGAAATGAAGCCAACTCATGTCATACCAGTGATGCCGGGAGTTGCAGGCGGAGTGCGGACGATATTGGCGCCGGGAAGACTGCTTGCAAGTGTAGGAGGTACGGCATTCGCACGAATGCCAAAAATGCGATCGTAAATGTCGTAATAGATAGGGATTTTTGGAGGGCGCCCCTTGCCCGAGGGCTTGAGGAGGAGGTCCCGCAACTTTTGGTAGTGGGCCTCCATACAAAATAACTTCCCTTTCACGGCGGCAAACTTGTGGCGGAAGGCAGGGTGGCGCCGCTTTAGTTCGATCCAAACCGTCACGTCACGGTTCTGGCCCTGGAGGCGGGTCTGGCTCCGGACGTCCTCGTCATTGTCGTGCCGCGTCCAGGCCAGCTGCATCACTTCTGCATCGGTCCACCCATTGCGTTTCTCCCCGGGCATCGCGGGATCGTGGTCTTCTTCCGCAGTATTCTCAATGTCGGTCTCTACTTCGCCAGCGTCGAAGTAAGCGAGGGAGTCGTCCTCCGCGTTGAGCGGCTGGGAGGGATCTGGCACCTGTGAAATGATCGTGTCAAGATTGATCACTTCAAGGCGCCGACCCGAGTTGTTGGTGGTGTTGTAAGCGCGTGCGAGTCGCTGAGGCAGCCTAAATTTTTGAAAGGAAACACGCAGGGGATTGGAAGACGTGCCAGGGTTACCGTCGCCAGTGGCAGTCTCGGGATTCATGGCTACTAATGTGTGTCAGGTCGGAGGATGCAGTATGAACATATGGAATAGTGGTTTACGAGTGCCTTTTTGAAATCAAGCAACGTTGTGCTGGCGTGGCCCAGCTGTTGTATTTTTGGCGAGATGTCAAGAACATACGCACCAAAATATCGGGTCGGTGTCGGTGACATTGACAGGCCGAGACGGAAACGTTGTTTTCGTGCCACGTTCACAGTGTAAACGAGAGTAGTGTTGGGCCCCGTCCTCGCTTGGGCGGAGCCGACCTCGTGGTCGGGTGTGTAGGGGGGGGACGCAGCCGACCTACAGCAGTGGGTACGAGGGCCACTGCAAGGGCGTTGAGCTGGGGGGCGCCTGGCTGGAGGGCGCCGAGCAGGTGGACGGCGCCCTTGGCGTTTGGGCGGCGTCCTGGGCGTCTGCACAGCATCCTGGGCGCCTGGACGCCGACTTGGGCGTCTGCTCGGCGTCCTGGGAGGCTGGACGCCGACTTGGGCGCCTGGACGGCGTCCTGGGCGAGTGGACGCCGACCCTGGGACGCCGGGTTTGGTGTAGCCGGCGACCGACTGGGCTGGACGACCAGGCGGGGTTGCCCGGTCGTCCGGGATACCCGGGCGACGTGTGCGAGAGTCGCTGGGATGGTTTTTGCGAAGCCGACCTCGGAAGTGGTATCCCGAGGTCGACGTGGCTGGTGGGCACAGTCGCTGGCGTGGAGTCTGCTAGGCGTCTGCGCTGTGCTCGTGACGAGGTGCAGAGCACCAACCAGCTGCACGCACTTGCGAAGCATGTGCACCGTTGTCCTGCAGGTGCAACGCTGTGCAGCCGACTTGCTGCAGCGCTGGCACACCGTGGACTTGCAACGTTGGCAAGCCGTTGCTCTGCAGCGCTGGAGCGGCGCGAGCCTTGCTGCGCTGGATCGCGGTCGACCGTGCTGTGCTGGAGGTCGACCAGCAGCTGTGCTAGCTCTGATGTAGTCAGCATGCCAATGTTGTTGCTACCATTGTTGTGAACTTTTGCTAGTGAAACTCTTGCCAATTTTCCCTGTGAATGTCCAAGTAGTGTGAACACGAGAAAACGACTAAGGAACGAACGTAGAGATCACTCCTACCCCGTGCCTAGCCCGTAGTCTAGCTCCCGTAAACAAAGTTATCTCCGCACACAGCCACGTGTGCGTTGTCGAAACCGGCACCCTATCTGACGACGTAGCTAGTGCGCACGATGCTAGCTGCGAGTGTCGCAGACTTCGCCTCTTCCTCGTCTTTGGTCAGTTGGACACACGTTTGCGATTTCGTGCCAACATGTTTGGTGAAGAAAGTTCAACCTTGGATTCGTGTTTTCATCAACCACGATGTTGTCCTTGGACACACGACGTCTTGGCGAAAGGTTTAGCGAAATTTGCGAAAAGGGTAACCAGCAAAAGTTCAACCAAAAATTAGAACGTCTAGAGCAAAATTCGAACAGCTAGGTGAGCAGGGCAACCCATATGTTTCACGACCTACCAGAGTGTGTACGCCCTTGAAGCTCTATTCTCGTTATTGAGCAAGCCCGCCTGGTTCCCTCCCCTCAGGGCGCGGAACGTCTTGGTTCAAGATGGCTTTCTGAACGTTGAAGCTTGTTCGGTATATTGCGGTACTTGAACGTTCAAGTCTTGACCTGGGATGTCCCACACCCTCACCATGCTGAACGAGGCTTGGTCATACCCGAAGTGAAAATCGAGGCCATACTAGGCTCTGTGACGCCAGTAGGAATCTACCACGTGGCTGCGGACCAATAGGAGTCGATGCTCCCGGAGGGCTCTCCGGTGAAAGGAAGCCATGATTCGAGCCCCGCTCCTCCTCCCCGCTTCCGCAAATCCCACTCACGGCGGAAGCACCGCGACCGCATTCACGAACGGACGCGCGCTTTTGCCAGCACCAGCCGCTGCTTCCGCTTCCGCGGTCGCCTGCGTGGACGCTTCCGCCGTTCCGCGCGCGACGCTGCTGCGGAAATCGGACGCTGGGGTGAGCGGAGGCGGGTGCTGGGAAGGCAGGAAGGTGCGCGGTGGCGGGCGAGCGGGGCAGATAGCGCGGATAAGCGGGGGATCTTCGGCGTTCCGAAAAGCCGCGGGCAGTGGAATAATTGGAATGATTGATTTTGCTGATGGTGCTGCTGCTGGTAATAACTGGCTTAAAAGCAGGGGCTTCAAACGGGGTGAAAGAGGTGCTTTTTGCGGGGAAGATGCTCGCAATAGTTCAAAGGAGTCTTGGCGGTTTGACAATACCAGCAGTGGTAGCAGGGGGCGTTCCTCCGTTACAGTCACATGCTCTGCGGGAGGATCGCCCTCGCCTGTATCACCACCCGACACGTCAGACTCACCCCGTCAGATCTCGATCCTCTTTGCCGCCGGCGGCACGGGCGGCCACGTGTACCCTGCCATCGCCATCGCAGACGCCGTCAGATCCCGCGATCCAACGGCCGAGATCAACTTTGTCGGAACCAGGGAGCGAATGGAATGGACGGCTGTCCCGCGTGCAGGCTACCGGATCCATCCAATCCCAGCCGTCAGTATCCGTCGGCCGCTCCTCACTACCCTCTCCAACCTCCTCGTACCGTTCCGTTTCCTCCGCGCGTTCTGCCTCTGCCTGCTCTTGATCTGGCGATTAAAGCCCGATGTGGTAGTAGGCACAGGAGGGTACGTGTCCGCGCCGACTTGTCTAGCAGCCGCGATCTGTCGCATACCTCTCGTGTTACAAGAGCAGAACGCATTCGCGGGGATCGCCAACCGCCTGCTTGGCCGCTTCGCCAGCGTCGTTTTCGTCGCCTTCGCCGTCGCCCAGAGGTTCTTTCCAACCACGCGCTGCCACGTGGCAGGGAACCCCACGCGCGCGGTGCTGCGATCTGTGAGGGAAATGCGGGAAGAGAAGCGGGAAGAAGCGATAAATTACTTCTTCCCACGTGTCGGAGCTGACGCTGCTGCTGCAGCAGGAAGAGCAGCAGGAGGAGCAGCAGGAGGAGCAGCAGGAGGAGCAGCAGGAGGAGCAGCAGGAGGAGCGGGGCAGAGAGCACATGTGGTGCTGGTGCTGGGGGGCTCGCTAGGAGCACAACCCATCAACGCAGCCGTGGCAGGCGCGCTGCAGCGGCTGCTAGATGGGCCCGGCGGTGTGGAGTGCGGTGTTGAGAGGCTGGACGGTGTGCAGAATGGTGGGGAGGGGGGAGAGAGGGGCGGGCGGGGGGAGGTGCTGGTGATATGGCAGGCGGGGGCACGGCATGTGGGGGAGATGAGGGCTCTCCCCATCGCCGCACATCCCCGCGTCTCCCTCTTGCCGTGAGGTCTCTTCTCTTGCTTCCCTCTCTCTCTTCTCCTGCTTCCCTCTCTCTCTTCCCCCGCATCCCTCTCTCTCTTCCCCCGCGTCCCTCTCTCTCTTCCCCCGCGTCCCTCGCTCTCTTCTCCCGCGTCCCTCGCTCGCTCCAACTATGGCCCCATTCAGGCGAGAGATTTCTCAGAATCCTCTTTCATGCTATGCGGTCTCTTTTCAAACATTTCTTGCTCCAACACCCCACTTTCTCCTCTCTTTCGCATTTGCACCCTCTCCGTTCCCAAGTCTTCTCCCTCTCTCATTCCCCTCCGTTCCCTCACCCCCCTCTTTCCACGCGCCCTCCTTTCCCCCACCATCCCCACCCATGCCTTTGCTATAACACGATACCCCATGGTGCATGGAGGTAGGTTTGTGGATGGCATGGACTTGGCTTATGCAGCAGCAGATGTGGTGGTGGCACGTGCCGGTGCCGTCACGTGCTCTGAGCTGCTCGCCACTGCCACGCCCTGCATTCTGGTACTCGCACTCGCACTGACACTCTCACTCACACTCGCACTCATGCTCGCGCTCGCACAACTTTTTTGAGGCGCCACGGAATTTACCGCGCCGAGCATATTGGTGCTCAGTCGCACTCATGCACGCGTGTGTGTGAGAGCGCGTAAATGAAGGCAGAATCTTTCCTTGCCCCTTGTCACTCTGTCACCTCACACCTTATCCCCATGCACAGATCCCATCACCACATGTGGCAGAGGACCATCAAACCGTGAATGCACGAGCCATGGTGCAAGCAGGGGCGGCTGTGATGCTGCCTCAGGACCAGCTCTCCCCGGACACTCTCCTCTCTGCTGTCACCTCGCTGCTTGGTAAAACCCCATGATAGTCGTCGATTTCTTACACGGGTTAAGTTGCGACATGTCTTGAGTTTTGACACGTCACAAGACTCTGCTGTTTCGTGCTGCTCGGTTGCCCCCGTGTCCCCTGCCCTTGTCCTTGTCCTTGCCCTTGCCCGTGCCCGTGCCCGTGCCCTCCACAATCTCCCTCCATGATCTTTGTACACTTCTTGATGATCTTCATGTTGAAGCATTGTAATGAATAGCCATTTTTCACGCATACGAAGTGCATTTTAATAGCTTCTGCTTGGAAACCGTCGTATTCCCCCCGTTCCCCCTCCCCACCCCCTTTTCTTCCCCACATGGGCAGCGCATGAAGCAAGGAGGGAGAAGCTGAAAGAGTGTGCAGGGGCTGCTGCCACTGCTGATGCTGCTGATGTCATGGCCCAGGAGGTGCTTCGACTGGCGCTCCAGCTTCAGCAGCAGCAGCAGCAGCAGCAGAAAGCCCAAGGCTAAACTTGCGTAGAGAATTCTGATTGACACAGTTTTTGCACAGAACTTTTGAGATTTCTTTTAAGTAAAATCCACAGAACTTTGGAGAATTCTCGAAAGTAAAATCCACATACCACCGTATTCCCTTGAACATAACACCAGGGCTTACTTGTCAGAATGAGGAATGAATGATCCATTGATGTTGGTTGGGGTACATATAGCTAACCCTAAGTTTTGTACCCCCTAAGACAAACCTCACTATAGGCTACAACATTTGACACACCCCCATAGCCTAAGTGAGGGGTGTCTAGCAGAACCAAACGAGTACGGTCACAAGACCAGTCCAAGAAACGAAGCTCAGGGTGGATCACAACGTCACCACACAGTCTGAGCACAAACAACAGTGGCCACAAGGCCAGTCCAAGAAGTAACAGAGGTATATAGAAAGCAAAGTAAACAGTACACTCAAGTCTAAGCAACACGAGAACCAGTGTCAACAAGGCCTAACTGCACACAGCACCTCTGGTGGTCACAAGGCGGAAGCGCCTTGGTGAAGATGTCTGCAGTGTTGGCCTCGGACTCCACAAACTCAAAGCGAGCCTGTCCACGCCTCTGCAACTCTCGCAGAAGAAAGTACCTGACGTGAATGTGCTTCACTCTGCTCTCCAGTCGTGGCTCTCGACAAAGGAGAATAGACGCCTTGTTGTCAGTGAACAAGGTCGGTGCAGAGCTCGGCCGCTCACCAAGGTCGGTGAGCAAGAAGGTCAACCAACGCAGCTCCTGTGCCGCCATGGCACCAGCGTAGATCTCAGCCTCAGCTGTAGAGGTCGAGACCGAAGAGGAGCGCGTGGACCGCCAGGAAACAGCTCCAGAACCCAGGCTGAAACAGTACCCCTGAGTAGACCTGTGAGTCTCAGCGTCGTCAGCGTAAGAGGAGTCACAGTGACCAGTAAGTACGACAGACTGCTGCCCTCCAAGAACTAGCCCCACGCCTGACGTCGTCGCTAGGTACTTCGCCACCCTCACAGCTGCTGTCCAGTGAACAGGACGGTGTCTCCCTGGCGCAACAAAGCGCGCAAGAACGCTGAGAGGGAAGGCGAGGTCCGGGCGAGTACAAGTCATCAGGTACATGAGGCAACCCACAAGCTCAGCGTAGGGACCACTAGGCTCGAACGGCTCGTCAGGAAAGGGTCCAGTGAGTCTGTGGTCAACAGCAAGAGGTGTGCGCTGTACTGTGGAGTGCTGAAGCCCGAACCGCTGAAGGACCTGCTGCACCATGTGCGACTGTGAAAGTGTAATGGTGCGAGCAGCTCTGTCCCTGGTGATCTGCAGGCCAAGGTAGTGGCGCAGCTCACCAAGATCAGTGCAGGTGTGTCTCTTCTGCAGTTCGGACTTCACGTGTGCCAAAGCAACCCTGTCAGGGGTGGCGAAAACAAGGTCGTCAACGTAGACCAGAACAAAGAAAGGTGTGGGGCCACGACGAACGAACAGCGACGGGTCAGCAGAAGACGGCTGGAACCCAAGGTCAGACAGGGTAGAACGCAGGGTGTCGTGCCACTCACGAGGAGCCTGACGAAGTCCGTAAACCGGTCGCCTCAGCCTCCACTGGGTCCCAGGAGGGAAAGAGCCAGTGAAGGCAGAGGGACGACGCAACCAGACCTCCTCGTGAAGACTGCCCTGAAGGAAAGCAGTAGAGAAGTCGAGAGAGTGTAACTCGTAGTCTCTCTGTGCTGCTACGTGTAGTAACACCCAAAGAGTGGTCATCTTCGGGGTGGGCGCGAAGGTCTGAAAGAAGTCAACTCCCTCGCGCTGACTGAAACCTCTAGCCACGTAGCGCGCCTTGAAGACCGGAGGAGATCCCGGTGGCCGCTTCACCCTGTAGATCCACATGCCGTCGACTACGTTCGCCCCCGGAGGGGGAACCTCATCGACGTAGGTGCCTGTGGATCTGTAGGAGGCCATCTCTGCGTCCATGGCAGCTCTCCACTGAGAGGCCCAAGGCCCTGACACTGCCTCAGCGTAAGTGCGAGGAGTCGGAATGTCAAGGGCGTCGGGGTCACCCTCAGGGGCGAGGAGCATGGCACAGAGATGAGGGGAAGCGGCGGCCAGGAACTCTAGCTCAAACTGCCTGTCCTCTAGGGCGTCACTGCCAAGGGCAGACACACCCCCGACGGCCAGAGGACTGGAAGGAGGAGCAGCCACAAGAGCGGTGGCGAAGTCAAGGCGGCGGGTAGAGGCAAACTCAGTGACTGCGGCAGTAAGAGCGGACACAGAGGACACAGAGGCACGAGGGTGGGTAACAAGAGAGGCGAGAACACGAGAGAGAACAGGACGGTACGTGCGGTAGTAGTCAGTGACAGGAGAAGGAAGCGACACAGTGAGGGCCGACTCAGGAGGAGACGGAAGCACAGACGGAGACGGACGAGGTGGACGAGAACAAAGGAAGGCTGTACGAAGGTCAGTGAAGGGAACAGGAGACGAGGGACGAGCACGAGGGGAGCGACGAGAGGCCCAAGTCTGAGAAGGAGGAGGAGACAACGAAGACTGAGAACGAGGGAAAACAGCGGGAGAGGGGTCAAAAGGAGGAAGCGAAGGACCAGAGACGGGAGGAGAGGGGGAGGAGGAAGGAGAGGGAGACGGGAGACCAAGGGTCCGAAGACCCGAGACAGGAGGAGGAGACGGCAGCAGCTGCTGCTGCTGCTGCTGCGGCTGCTGCGGCTGCTGCTGCTCCAGCGGCTGCTGCCTCTGCTGCTGCTCCTGCTGCTGTCGCTCCTGCTCCTCGAGCCGCTGCAACTCTCTCTCCTCTCTCTCCAACTCCAGCTGCTCCTCACGAGCACGGCGAACACGAGCCTGGAACCTGGTCGGGTAGGGGTGGGGGGAAGGAGTAGTGTCCGGGGCAGCGGCAGCCCCAGAGTCGACCTCCGAAGCACCAAGCACACCACCCCCAGAGGCAGCACCAACACCAGCTCCAGACCCAGGCTCTCCAGAAACCGAAGGGACACCCTCACCCCCAGACGCAGCACCCCCAGACTCCGCACCAGCACCCCCAGACTCCGCACGACCAGTACCAGCCCCCGGAAGACAAGAGTCCTCTGCAACCCGCGGCTCAGCTCCAACTCCAGCACCCCCAGAACCAGAGACCTGTACAGGGACAGTCGCAGGACCAACCTCTCGAGAGGGAGCACCTGCAGGAGGCGGCGAGGAAGACTGTGGGGAGGGAGGCTGTACAGGGGGGGCTACCGAAGGGGGAGGGCTAGCCTGAGACACACCAGACGGGGCTGGACCAGGGGGGGAGGCTGTACCGGGGGAGCAGGCGGGGGAGCGGCGGTCAGGAAGAGAGGGGGGGGAGGGACCGGGAGACCTCGACTGGGGTACCTGACGTAGTAGGGGGTGGACTCCTCGAAACGGACGTCACGGGAGTCAAAGAACCGGTGAGAGGGAGGGTGGTAAAAGGTGAAGTCAGAGGAGTCCTCAGGGAAACCAAGGAAGACACAAGGAACGGCGCGAGGCGAGAGCTTGTCCGCGGAGGTGTCGCGGACAAGAGCCAAGCACCCCCAGACACGAAACCTCGACGCGACACCAGGGGACCCTGTCCAAAGACTGGTCGGTGAAGCCTCCGGCCGAGAGACGCGTGGCCAGAGGTTCAGCTGGTGCGCGGCGTACCTGACCGCGTATGGCCACAGGAAATGGGGGGCACGGGCGTGAGTCAAGGAGGTGCGGGCAATCTCCATGACCAGGCCTATGCGACGCTCAGCAACCCCATTCTGCTGTGGGGACTCCGGAAGCGTCCAGGACTGACGAATGCCCTGTTCGCGACAGAATCCAGCGAGAATGCCGGAGCGAAACTCGCCTTCGCGGTCGGAGTGGAGACAGCTGACACGACGACCACGAGTGTCCTGGGTGGTAAGCAACCACCTGATCAGCGTAGAAGTCACCTCAGACTTCCTCGCCAGGGGGAACACTGTGGTGTAGCGGGAGTAGTCGTCAACGACCACCAAAAAGAAACGCTCACGCTCAGGGCCAGGGCGAGGAGAGGGGCCCCAGACGTCCAAGTGCAGCGTCTCAAAAGGCTCGGTGGCCGGACGAAGGGAGGAGGAGTGAGGGGTGGCGCGCAGCCTACCCTCGACGCAAGGACCGCACGGTGGTGCAAGGGACGGCGGCAGCGACGGCAAGACACGCGGGAGACCTAAGACAAGACGCTGACGAGACATAGCGCGAAGACGAGGAGGAGAAGGGTGCCCCAGCCGGTGGTGCCACAAAACGGTGGGGTGGGCAAGCGACCGACAGGAGCACGACGCAGCGACCGGACTAGACGGAGGAACCTGACAAGACACAGCTACCTGGGGGGACGGAGCAACCTGGTGAGACGCGAGGACTCGAACGGGAGGCAAAACAGGGGCCGGGGGCAGGAGGGGCGGCTGTGGCTGCGGCTGCGGCTGCTGCCGCTGCTGCTGCTGCGGCTGCTGCTGCTGCTGCTGCTGCGGCTGCTGCTGCTGCTGCAGTCGCTGCTGAGCGCGCGGGCGAGTGTGAAGAGTGTAGAGACCGGAGCCCGGCTCAGCAGCAAAAGTGGCGAGGGGCTGGTAAGAGTCCCCGTCAACACACACCGCAGTCTCTCCAGAAGGCTCAAACCACACACCCACGTGCTGACTCACGAGGGGTCGCACGCCCACCAAGTTCCGGGAGAACGAGGGGACGTGAAACCCAGTGAGAGACCCAGAAGGAGCAGCCGGACACGGCAAGGTGGTAGTGTGACGCGCGGTGACTGGTCCCGAAGTGGGATCAGCCAGCGCCACAGAAACAGGCGCAGGAAGAGGCGTAAGTGTCGTGCTGTCACGAAAGAAGCAGTGAGAGGCTCCAGAGTCCAGCGTGAACGACAGCGAACCGTCCTCTGAGGTAGCCGCTGGACTAGAGTCTACACAAGAACCTACACTAGCAACAGGCAACTGAGCAAGGCTAGCACCTAAGCTAGATCGGGAGGAAGAACGAGCGGCAGCGGTACGCTAGATCGGGCTACGCTAGATCGG